ATAAGAACAGCTAGTGACTTTACTTAACTGCCCGCTTTCCCTTTGAAAGCTTTTCTTTCTGTTTACGTAACCGTTTTAGGTGGGGGAAAAGTACCTATCCGAACGGATGAACAGTTTCGCATGAACAGCACATGTTGCGACAAAAGTTCAAGTAACTTGTCAACTGATAGGAATACGTGGAAACATCAGTGTCAAAAGATAAACTGAAGTCGGTGAATGACCTATTTCTCGTAGATATTCAATATTCTGGGCACAACACTGACTCCACCTGAACTTGCGGTCGTTGCAACGAGCAGTCACCTTATGGTTTGTCAGAATAGATAACAAGACGAAGTTTAGTGATTGGCTGATCAGAGCTATCTAACGGCGCACTGTTACACACAGAGAACGGCATTACATTGTTAACAATTACTTGATCAAGAGTCGAGTCACATCTAGTGGGACAATTCGCGATGTTTCGTAGTCCAAGACTTGTGCAAAAAGCGGTGTCAAATCGGTTAAAATCACCAGCGAAAAGATATAGTAAACAATCGATTGTGCAGTTGCAGTAAACCACTCGTAAAATGTCTCTGCTTCAGGTTTCAAACAGTTGGGGAAATGAAACAATGGAACAATAGTTTTATAAGGGGAAAATGTCAATGCTTAACAGGATGATTATCGTGAAGGTAAGAAATATGTTAAAGTATTGTTAACAAAACTGGGTTTAGTCCAGTGAACTCACTGAAGTATACGTAGTGTAGACGGTAAATCCAAATCCATAAGAAAGGACGGCAAATGGGGTGTTGGTAAAAATCGTGTCTCTTGGTGTACATATGGAGAAGGTGAAAAACGTAGAACGGAATCTGTGCTGTGATCGCCAGTGAAATTGCTTTCAGACACTTATGTTTATCCACAGGTAATGGGTAATGAAAGATGGTGCAGGGAAATAAGTGCACGGTCAACTCTGGCTTTGAGCGCTGTCAGCGTGGGAGCACATATGACAGATTCAGGTAGGGCATTCCACGTACAGCACACGTATACAGAAAAGAAATTCCGATGAGATCCCAAGCGGCTGTGTAGTTCTGCTAGTTTGAGATGGTGACCTCTCAAATAACTGTTGTGACTGAGCTTTAGTAAGAAGCGGCAGGTGAGGCTGGGATCTCTCCAAATTTGGTACATGTAAATGAGGTCCCCGCATAATCGCCGATGCCGCCCGCTGAAGGCCGCGACCACTTGTAGCCTTCGTTCACACGGCGTTATACAGATCCTTGACGTTCTTGGTTGCTCGACGCTGGGGTATCCAATGCAGTAAGATCTTTCCTCAGCCATGGCTGTCAGATATTTATTGCCTATTTCACCTGTGTCCGCATGTATGAGCCGAGAAGTTGTGGAAAAATCGAAGGGTCGAATCGTCCACATGCAAGCTTCAGGAGTCCCACATCTTGGATGCCCCCTAGAACCCGTTTCAGCCTGCTTCGAACATCCTAGGTCGACCTGGATAACAACGCAGATTATTTGCACCAAAAGCGGTTGAAGCTCCTGGTTGCTGAGTTGGTAGGAGTGCTCCAACTTGTGCCGTATATGCAGCACTCTACATTTGTCCACATTGAATGTAAGTAGATTATGTGTTAGACACGCGTATACCCTTTCGTCTTGTCGTCTTGTGTTTTGATCGCCCTCCACACCTTGATGTCATCGGCATAAAGAAGACAGTTCAAGTTTATAATGCGTGTGATCTCGTTAATACACACCACAAATAATCGCGGTCTTAGTACTGATCCCTATGGTACTCCGTATTCAACTTGGATGGGATCTCACAACGAATCACGCACACGTACTTCCAGGCGCCGGTGTAGAAGTTTCTGATTCCTTCTAGGAGAGGATCACCAATACCATCGGTCTAGAGTTTAAAGAGCAGAATTTTCTCGTCTAACCATCGAACGCCTTTGAGAGGTCAGGAAAGACTACATCAACTCATGTGCCAGAGTCTATTACTTCAGTCCAGCTGGATCGTGCTAGTAGTAGATTTGTAGTGCACGATCGATTTCGTCGGAAGTCATGCTGCTTCTATGCGAGGTAGTTAAATTATTCCAAGTAGGCGGTTAGCACATCAGAAATAATAGCTTCCATGACTTTTGAAAAACCGGTAGTAAGATTATGGGACGATAGTTGGCTGGATTGGAACGACTACCTTCCTTGTGAATAGGAGTAATCATCCCGTGTTTCTACATGTCGGGCACGTACATTTCTTTAAAACAGTGTTCGAAGAATCAAACCAAAGGCTCAGCTAAACACTCTCCTACTGCCGCTAGAGATTTCATGTGTAAATTATCAACTTCAGGAGAGCTGCACTTGCGCATACTCAACAGTATTTTTAGTACAGCTTCTGCTGTGAAGGATATGTGAATACGTTTTGGGGGTTAAACAACCATCTTCAGTGGGTTAGGTGGCCATTGAGCGCACTGAAATGCTGCAGCATATTGTAGGTTCAGGGTATTCGCCGCCTCCTTCGATGTCCGTTTGGGTTCGTCCGCCGCCTGAAGAGGAGTAATTCGCGGTTTCACCTTAAGTACACTGTTGAGGTGTTGATACAGAAGCTTGTGCTTTGAGGCTATACGCACTGCCAACTTCTGCTGGTACGCCGTTTTGCCTTCGCGAACAAGATGAGTACAGTGGTTACGTTGGGTTGCATACGCCATCCAGTCCTCGGTGCTCGGGGAGACTGTAGATATGCCAGGCTGAGTTTCTCACCGCTATACACTTGCTTGTCCTGCTTCGCAGAAACTAGACCACATTTCTCGGGCGGTAGGTCTTAATCGCTGACATTTCGGCAACCAGAGAGCTAAACTGGCTGACGAAATGTTCCCATGCACTAGCTGATGCCTCGTCTGCCAGAAAGGTCCAGTTGGCTGTCTCACCTAGTCGAGCTAATATGTCGTGGCGTGTAATCCTTTTTGTTGCGTCGACAATTTCCAAGGGATATACTGCATAGCAAATGTATTCGAATAGTAGTATTGCATGATTGCTGCGGCCCAAGTAAACCTCGACAATCACCGCGACCATTAGTTCTTTTTTGGTGAATATCCGAGCCGGTATCGAATGCTTATCTTTTTCTCGGAATCGGGTGGGTGTTGATCTGCCCATACAGCGAATAACCGGAAACAAACTCTTGTACTTTGGCCTTAAACTGTTTTAAGGGAGCTGCTTGATTTTCCAGGGCTTGGATATTAAAATCGCCATTAATGAGAATGTGACTGTAAGTTGTGTTTATCACCCTCCTCATTGCGGATGCCAGACGGGAGTCCATCTCAGGAATGGAGGAAGGAGGACGGTATATGACCGCCACTAAGCGATTGTCGTCGCTTTTTAGACCTAAACGGCATCAAAGGGAATCTTGCACTTTGCTGACTGGATCCTCTATGAGCTCACATTGGAGGTCATTGCGGAAGTGAAGTAAGGTTGTACGGTGCCTAGTGATACATCTCGCCTTGTAAATCAGAACTAAGCAATTAAAACGTTGGGATGCGAAACAAAACTATAGGTTCGTAGATACAAACCAGGAAGTGTTGGTGTAGATACAGACTCCATCACCACAGTTATGGGGAGGGGTGGTCGTTCCGATGACCTTTAAACCCTTCTACAGAAGCAAGTGCGTTATCAACCTCCCCTGGTAACAAAAGGATGGATGCCTAGCTGCAAACAATGTGGGAAACTGATGTTGCTTGTTAGTTCATCCACTTTTTATAAAAGTGAACGGATATTTGAAATAAGTAACATAGGTATGCTCATGCTTCCCAGCATTTGCTTCCGAAAAGCAATTTATCGTCCAGGGCGGTGTTTAACTGCACAATTACGCGCTTCTTGTAAATTCGTTTCAGTTTAATCTTTCTAATGTGGCCGTTGGAAAAGGCACAGCTGGTGAGCGCGGAAGCATATAACAATTTCAAACTATCGTGTGTACTGACCGAATAATAACAATTATAGCCAGATAAAACAACGTGAAAATCTGATGGTTGGTATGACGCCAAAAGTGTGTTTTAGCAATTCCGCAGAAAGGAATCCTGAAGCACGGCCATGTTTGAAACCCCAGGCAATATGATACCATAATTTGCGCTGTTTGCCTTATCTCGTATAACCAGTGTTCATAAGGAGATGCTATCCTGCGCACTGTGTTGAACATTCAGTTCAGATAAACAGAGATTTACAATTTTGCTGATGCATTTACTATGATGAGCCAACAAACACATGGTCTGTAAGGTAGGAAATGCTATTTTTCTCAACATGCGTTTCCAACTGGCGCCATCCTACGAGGCGTGCATACCAGTAATGAGCCATACTTGCATTGACACAAAGTCAATTCTTGCTCGATATTTCATATGCAGACTACATATTACCAGCACAATCTTAAGAGGGCTTTCTGTTTCAATTGTTATTAAAACCATCGATTTATAGAAAACAAAGTTGAATATAGTTTACTGTTCTTTCGGACAGGTCGCTGCCCGCGGAAGATTCCGCCATCAATTGTGGTACCCGCTCCAAGAGCTGGCTGTGCTTAAGCAATGACTGAATGTGACACCTCGCTTTTCAGTAGTACCATGTCGAAGGATCATCACCGAAAAGTAAAATGTAACCACCCTTCTTCTGCAAGTGTTAAATAAATCCTTACTTCCTCAGCTATTTAGAACTCGACAGTCGTTTACCGCAAAGCTTGTATCCTAATTTTTGAATTCAAATCGAGGACCTGTGATGCAAATGAACCATTCATTTCTTCTCCCGTGAATAAGCATTATCCCAACGAAGCAAATCCGTGCTTTGTAAGGTTACCTAAGGAGCTCCAATTGACTAATCTTTCGACTTTATGTCGCAACCGAAAGAGCGGGGAAGTAACAGGGGCCAGATCATCCTTCGGCAGCATCAAACGGGTTGTCATTCATGAAATGCGCAAAGCAAAATTAAATTTAATTCTCAAACCTTGGCTGCCCGTTGCATATCACACTTTTGTCTTTCTGCCAAACAAACAGCCCAATGAGGTCCACTCCTCGGTAACAACCCCGGAGAACATGGCACTATCATCACGTAAAAAAACCAGTTTTGCGGATCACGCAGAAGTTGTTAACATATCCAAAGATGAGGGGTTGGACGCACAGGCTTTTGTGGAGTTCATGGATGATACGGAAGATATTAACAACCATTTGCTGGAGCAGGTACCCACGATGTTTACTTTTTAATGTTGTCTCTTATCCTAGTTTGCATTGTGTAAATCGTATGAATGAAATGTAAAAAGCCGAATGCGTTTTTTATTGTTAATTCATAGTACTTGTCAGTCAAAATATGCTCTAGGAAAGCTGATGGAGTTTCCGTTCTTGACAACGTCAGTGTATAGCAGTTTGCAGTTCAGCTTCACCAATTTGCTTTTCGTAAAATATAGGTTGTCCATTAGTATCTGGGCTAATTATGGTGGCCTAGGTCGTATTTTGTCACTGTTGTGGTTATTGCCTTTAGCGTTTAGTGCACTTTTCCCTGTTTTCTTAACAAGAAACAACAGCATGCAGAGAAGTTGGCAAATACACCCGGATTGGGGGCAGTTTGCATAATATAATGCATGACCTAGCCAGCACAACTCACGTCCAGTGTACACAAGGGGGTTTGAGATGGCTATGCATGTGAATCGGCTCCGCCGTGGATTTGGAATTAGACTGCACACTTTCAATTCGCACATCTCAGATCTAAAACTTTGACATTCATGCGTGTTGGCAGTGCAATGGGTGGCGACTGGTTCCGTCATGCAATGACTGTCTGGACCTAACGGATTAGCGGAACTGTACATCCTTACGAAGTAACCAGTAGCAGTATAGTGACGGTACTCCGGCTGGCTGTGGCTGATTGATCGGGACCCTACCAGTCATAATTGACATATTTCAGCGGAGAAAAATGTTAAGCACACATCAGGCAGTCTAGTTTTAAACAATATAGATGCGACGAGGTACGTCATTTCCTTATTCAGTATCTACATTGAGTGGCTACATCGCTGCATCCATAATAAAAGTAACCGAACTCTAACACCAACGTATTCTTGGGAGGTATATGGACAGAGATAGGGACGTTCCGGAGCGTTCATCATGCATATGGTGGATGAAGTTCTGAGACAATATTTAAGATATGCGATGAAGTTCATCTGCTACCGACAACATGAGTAAATACGATTGTTATTTAAACGCTCTACTCTTGCGAGATTTGGGCATAGTTGTCGCTTTGATAATATAAGATACCTACAAAGGAAGGTGTTTGGGTCGTAGCCCATTCAGTGGCCAAACCACTAGATGAGTCTATCGAGGTCATTACACGCTTTTTAATAGGACTCCATGGTTAAGTTATGTATACTTGCAGTAAATAAGGTGGAAGTTATCTTAAGTAGGGAAAACCGTAACGGAGCTATCTATGAGATGTCACGCTATCTTCACTCAGGGATTAACCGTTGCGACTGCTCAGCTCTGAGAAAGGTTTACCCTCTTGACCCTGAAATTCCATCATTATCCAACTTATTTCTTCTTTCTAGACCCGTTCCTATAGATTGCTGGCTCTATGAGACCGCAACCTCAGTTTAATTGTTGCCCCCAGAAACTGTTGTTCAAACGTTAAGCTGCAAGCAATATCAAATGAATGTGCAACTTCCCCCACTAATAATAGTGGGCTTTCGCACAACTCAGTGGGTGCTACCGAAAGCTGCAGTGCAAGCTCACAGTAGCCTACCAGATGGTATCTGACACCAACTTGATCTTCTACCTTTAGACACACTGGTTACCAATTCAAAACAATTGAGAGTTACGAGTGTCTCGAGATCGGTAGTATTTTATTCCTCTACGCTGCGCCACTCAAGAAACGCTGTCCCAGCTTCTGTGCTGCCAATTTTATGTTGGCTGATTACAAATGGAATTTTGAATTGTCTCCATCAACTCATGTATTTGGATGTAGTCAACAGTGGCTTAGTACGTGTGAAATGGCTCATAATTAGCCGATGCTGTAGATTGTCTAGAATGAGAATGCTACAGTTAATCGTAGATTCACTAGCAAATTAACATTCTTGCTGATTGACTCACTATAACCCATACATGGGCATTCATGTACATGTATATATATGAAGTTTTTGGGAATGACGGTTTAGAACATCACCGGTTTTATCTTTTGCATTTCCCAACGAGTAAAAGCTATATTACACAGGATAACTGGATGAGGCGCTGTTGCAGGAACCATGTACGCAGTCAGTGCAGCCTTGGAATAATCACCATGTGTGCCAAGAAAGAAAGACAATCGTCTGCGGTTCATTTAGTCAGTGCTAAAACACCCTCCGGTTTTTGGAAACGCTGCAGCACAAAGGGCACCGTTTCTGGGTTAAGTACTCACAAAATTGCTCTAAACCCCAGCTAAAGGTAGCGTAGCTAGCCAACATAGAGATGCGATACTTCATCTATGTTCAACTTAGAAAGTGCCACTATACTCCGTATTTCAACTCGCAACGTGTATCGAAGGAGGTACAATATACAGACTGATACCTGAACATAGCTGGTCTAATTCCATAGCTCGGAATATGCTTGGAACCGACTGGGATCTCATAATTTCAGAAGATTTTGAATACAAATCGGTTTTTGTAGGGGTTTTATTATGGCAACGTTTTGCCCTTGACGCAAGAGCTTCTTCTGGCCTGAAGTAGCTCTTGTGTCAAGGTCGAAACGTTACCATAATAAAACGCTACAAAAACCGATTTGTATTCAAAACCTTGCGAAATTATAGCTGGTCTAAATTGCATGCTGTTTGGTTAAGGAACGTATGCTTACCCGTGGCCGTAATTTGACTCAAAACCGCTCCATATCGTTGGTAATGCGTCCGTAACATTGGATCGCAATGCTCGTTTCATCTTTGTTGTTTGGTCCTCATATGAAACTATCGTGTTTGATATTTGAGCCCGGTGCGCTTTTAACCATGGGCTACTAAGCTGTATAAGCAATGCGTTTAGCAGCGGTTTGAAAATATTTGTTTAGTTTGGTTTCGGCCTAGCGTATGCTAATTGCAACAGGCAATCAGGATTACTCCGACATTTAATTTGCAAATAACGTCGAGGGTTTGAAATAAACTAGTTCATGATTGTCTTTTGGAATCAAAAACTCCGGCTCTCCAAAACCCACACTGCTTTTGCTTAGCTACCAAAGTTGGAGATCCAACAAACAGGTATATTTCAGCGAGTTCATTAGCATCTGCAGTAGTTACAACAGTACAATTAGAGTTGTCAGGTAAATGGAACAAACTCCGAATGTAAGAAAATTGTGGCCTGGGAGCTGATCATTTTCGTTTTTGTTCTCAGTCACCACCTGACCCCAACGATGCTGTAAAGCTAATCAACCATTAATAGCCGAGATGTGATGTCGCCTCGTTTTTCTAGCCGAAGCCTGTATCCGACTCCATATTGATTGCCTCGATTGATCACATTAGAACACAGTACAAGCTGCAACGTTTGCTCAGCGTTGCCTTGTTACAGGATGACTGATATAAGTTACAACCGACATGCTGTTGCGCCTCTCCATGGATGCTCATGTGCCATGCACATCATGGTTATCTGCAATGCTAGGCCGAGCGACGTGTTTTGTCCGTAATGTATGTGCGATTGCGTAGGTCGAACTGTCAAAATTGTGTATACGAAATTATCATGCATTATGTACGGTACAGCAGGGACTTCGGAAATGCTGACATGCCACTGACCAGATACTAACTAGCAGCGGCTTCACGTATTGCATTGTTCTGCCCTTCAGCATCACACAACATACGGATTCGAACAAAGTTATAGGCAGCTAAAATATGTTTTCTGCTACACACCAGTCTGATCTTGTTGACGAAAACGGGTTCACTAGTAACTAAGGTAAATTGGTGACTGTTTTTTGTTGAAAGCTTAGCGTGAGTTGGGAGGGCCAGAGCATCTCTGCTTTACTGCGGTCAAGCAAGGCTGTGATTCAGGTACTTTGGCATACCAAAGTACGGCAGTTGTTGCTGCATTCCGCAGTACTTGTAAGAATCTATCAAGTTTTTTACGTTTATTAATATGTTTGCTTGTGAAACACGGAAAATGGATCTGCCGATTTCGCATGACTGTCCGTGGCAATATTTAGGAAATCTAGAGGTTTGTTAGATAGAAAATATTAAGCGTATGGGATAAACAGCATCTGGTCCCATTCTGGAGTGTGGAGTTTCTCGCACATGTTTGTTTGTTGATTGTAAACTTAGGTACTGAAAGCCACCAAGCTGAAGTTGTTGCATGAGGTCGCTAGTTTTGGGTAACTAGAATCGGTAAGAAACCTTTATCACAGCTATTAGAATACCGTCTTACAGCTTAAAGCACCCATTCTGCTTTAAACCACTTGTAATGCGAGCTTTACTTGAGCCGCAGACATTACCATCACTGAGATCTCGCCACAAAAATGGGCTTGAATTAGGTATATTTTGTCTGATACAATTCCTCAGTAATGATTCTCTTCATGGTTGGACTCTGAAAATTTAGCTACATCAAATGACCTCGAAGATAAACAATCGCCTAACCAACACGAAGCTTAGCAGAAATGCGTTAACTAGCGAAACATCATGTGTGACCAACTATATATATACATATACATATATATATACGTATAATATAAAGGCTCACGAGGGTAGGTTAATTAAGTACTCGATCTGATTAATATACCACCTTTCGAGAGATTAGTATAATTAGTCGACCATGCACATTTGAGAAGCATAATAAAAAGCGTACACAGATAGCAAGCCATAATTACAAAGAGTAACCGGCCTGCATGTACGCAACTAACTGGAGTGCGCTTAAGCATGCTGGATGGGCAAAGTAGGTGAAGGAATTTCAGTCCTAGGTCCAAAATGATTTGACACTGGAGTCAAAATGCTTTCATACATGCAACATTGGCTTCTTCCAGTTTGCTGCGACGATCTTGGTAAAATAATCGCAGCAGGAGAAAATATTTGAAAGCACATAGTTGAACGCGGTTCCGGGCTCCTTATTGTGAGTTTTGATCAGCAGATATTTATTTAGCATTGTCTAGTTGATCAGAGTTGATGCATCATTCATATCGATTGCGCTTCGGTACATATATCATCCTTCAAGAGGGTAGTGGCCAGTCGGCGCTATCGCGTACCTGGCATCCCAATCAATTAG